AAATTATTATCTGGACATCTTACGTCTATAAAACAACCTAATTCAGTAACTTTGTACCTAGAGTGGCTCTTGGGCCTTGTACTGCACGAGCATTATTACTAAGGAAAAAAACTGCTGGGATGATTTCATCTTTTTAGACAGTATGGCAGTCGAGCGAAATAGCCGGGTTTAGGAAAAGTGCCGACCGGATATAACGTCATAAATCTTTCTGATGACTTCCTTTTCATCCCTTTGTCGTAAATGCTCGCTTGTTTGTTGCTGCTTGGCTACGCTTGACAAAGCCCGGGTAGTCAGAAATCAGTTGTTGCTGGCTTTACAGATGCAAATTTTGATACAATACAAACGAAAGATCCTTTGCGAAGCAGGAACGACAAAACGTTAATTAATGGAAATTTATCTTCCTCTTCCAATCAGCTCATACAATCAACTATCTGCAGTAGATAGTTCAATACTATCTCGCGGAATTGGTTCCTGTGTGTTAGTCTCTCGCTCTCGCTTACACTTTCTCTCTACACTAATTAATTTTTCTGTGTGTATACATACATGTCAACTTATCTTTAAATGTATCGATGCTGATTGCTTTCTATGTGTGTGTATGTTGGTACGCTTTCGTATCTCTTGTTTTTATACATACAGCGTGCTCTCATATCTAGCCATTGCCATCTTAACTAGTTCAGTGTATTTTCCTTACTCTTTCGTGTAGTCTCTATGTGTAGTCTCTATGTGTAGTCTCTAGCTGTAGTCTCTATGTGTAGTCTCTAGCTGTAGTCTCTATGTGTAGTCTCTAGCTGTAGTCTCATGTAGTCTCTAGCTGTAGTCTCTAGCTGTAGTCTCTGGCTGTAGTCTCTATGTGTGTCTCTGGCTGTAGTCTCATGTGTAGTCTCTAGCTGTAGTCTCTATGTGTAGTCTCTAGCTGTAGTCTCATGTGTAGTCTCTGGCTGTAGTCTCTAGCTGTAGTCTCTAGCTGTAGTCTCTATGTGTAGTCTCTAGCTGTAGTCTCTATGTGTAGTCTCTAGCTGTAGTCTCTATGTGTAGTCTCTAGCTGTAGTCTCTATGTGTAGTCTCTAGCTGTAGTCTCTATGTGTAGTCTCTAGCTGTAGTCTCTATGTGTAGTCTCTAGCTGTAGTCTCTATGTGTAGTCTCTAGCTGTAGTCTCTAGCTGTAGTCTCTAGCTGTAGTCTCTATGTGTAGTCTCTAGCTGTAGTCTCTATATACAGGTCTTTCGTCTGGCTAAATCTCGTCTTTGTATGCCTATATAGAAATGTATAGTATCTATATATAAATCTAGTTTTGTCTTTCTATGTCTATATATCGGTTTAAAATGCGGATTATATCTAACAGAAGTGCTAAGAAACAAGTCGAAATTATTTCTAAAATTGATACCGTATTGTGTTAGGTTCTGGAGAGGGAAAACGTCTATCTTATATCAAGTATTCGTCCACGCTTAGAATATTGTTAGCACATATAGCCATGTGCTTCGAGTACACATCTAGAGCACTTTGATAAAATCAACAGTCGAATTAGCATTATTATTGGTCGTGGTCTAGTGTTTTGGCTTCGGTCATTTTCTCACCGCCGTAATGTTGTCTTCACGTGCTTTTTCTATAATCACTTACATGGAAATTGTTAGGATGAGCACTTCGTTATGTTACTTTCAAATTGTTATTTTATTCCCCTCCTTCCACTGACATGAATTGCACATTTCTGACTAGGTAGGATTTTCATAGAGATATTGTGGCATTATGGTGGATTTTGTAAGAATGGTAAATAAGACTGCATGGTTTAGGTATAAGGAATATTATTGTATGTTTGGGTCAGTGATCGTGGCTAGCTAAGTTTAATATTAAGACAGAAGACCACTATCTTTTCTCCTTCCCCATTGTGACCTTGTGCCACATTTCTGTAAATAATGCGGCATAAATATCGCTCTTCGATTGTTATCTCGACTTTTTTTTTAAATTTTAACACTGTACTAGACCGGTGACAGGGTCTCATCAATTTACAGTCGAGTTGGCCGATTACTCTCTTGTTCTCGCTCCTTAGTAATGTTTTAGTTTTCTAATTCTTCCACACCCAGTAACAACTTGTGTTTTAGTGGCTTTAATGCCTTGATTGGGGTGAAGTCGATTATTTCTCCCCGTCAGAGAGTTGGGGAGTGAACAGTTTTGGAATGTAACTCCCAATATTTCCACCCACAAAAATAAATAGCAAAACATGTCAAATTTATCAAGATTTCTTTCTTTTATGAGACGTATCTCTTTAGGGCGTAGGTGATCATAGCTCTCCACAACTTTCTATCTTTTGTAGGTTTCAGTTCTATTCTCTTACTGTTCCTCTGTCTTTATTCTGCCAATTTGCACAAGCTCATTAGACATGTTACCCGATGTTTCTTCCTGCCTTCAATGTCCTGTGAGTGTCTAATTCTCTAACTCCGCTTTCCTCATTAGATGCCCCAGAAATTTCATCTTTATCGATAAAATGCTCTTGTTATTTCTGTTTGCTTAAAATCTCTTCATTGCTAACATGGTTCAGGCTAGGATTATGCTTTTCACCGCCACCATTCGTCAGATTCTAACTAATTTTAATACGGACTTAAACTAAGCTAACATTTTTTTTAATTAAGCAGACACGCAGATGCCGTAAGATTAACGGTCACGCAACCAATAAAATCAAAATTCTAAAAATTGATACTTTAACGTATCGAGGTACTAGTTGTTTTTGTTTAACGGCATATCAACATCTCTATGGGTTATGCCGAAATCTAAATATTTTGAACACGGTTTTATGATTTTAACTACAGATAAAATGTATTTAATTCGACTAGGAGGCACGGTGGAGTAATGGATAGCGGCTTGGATTGAGAACAAAGGACTAAGCATAAACTACAAGACAGAATGCATGGTCATCAGTAAGAGGATGAGCTCGAAATACCATTTGCAGGTCGGGAACACTAGAATCAACCAGACGCAGAAGCTTACATACCTGGGGAACGTCTTGACAGTGTTATACCGGAACGTACCTATTTCTATTGTAAATAGACTCTCCCACAGATAAGTAGTAGTAGTAGCAGTCGCGAGTGGAGCTCAGTGAGTTGTGCGAGTCAGTCGATGTCGGACATTAAAGTATGAGCCCCACAACTAGATTGCTGCGTCATTAACTATTATTTCAAGTTCCTAACGTTTTGTACGTCGAACCTAATTTAGGACCGACTCAGTGAAATACAAGCCTCCACTGTGAAAACTACTTTACAACACAGAGGACGGTAAGTGTGACACTAAAATCCGTAGACGTATTGAGATGGCCATGATCACATTCTAAAAGCTGGGCAGAGTATTGCCTATCAGGAGGATTTCTTTGGTAACAAAGAAAATACTACTGAACTGTTATGTGACATCAGTCCAACTTTACGGCGGCGAATGTTGGACGATTTCCTGAAAGATGAAGAGACTCGAGGTGACGGAGATGTGGTTCTGCAGAAGGATGCTAAGGATATCATGGGCCGAGTGTGTGAGCAACGATGAGGTCTTAGAGAGGTTGTTAACAATGAGGAGGCTTATACATAATATTAGGAAGAGGCAGCTGAAGTTTCTGGGACACATAATGAAGGCGGGGTCAAGGAGAATGTTATACTCATCGGTCGAATAGAGGGAAAGAGAGACAAGGGAAAACATACCTGGCGGGCTTAATTGGATAATAGAACGTGGCCCGAGGGAAGAAACTTGCTGAGAGCTGCAAGGGATTGATGAGCGTGAAGAGACATGATCGCCTACGCGCCGAAAGGATATGGCACATAAAAAAAAACAAAAAAAAACGAAGTAATATTACATTCTGCAGCCTTCTAGAACTTGTTTTTGTTTTTTTGTAAGTTTTTATGTTATGCTATAACTATAAACTCTTAAATGTGTTAAAATAAACACGTACTATTCAATTACGTCATTAGCATATTAAAAAGAAAGCTTGTGAAATATTGATTTTTTTTCCCTTTATTGTGCATATGGTAAAATCAAAATCAAAACCTCACTGGGGCTGACCTTTTTTCAAAGACTAAAAAAAAAAATGCCTCTTTCATTACTTTTGAACAAAAATTTGTCAAACAAGGTTAAAAAAAAGTCAAACTATGTAAAAATATCCCATCAATAAGGACATAAGCAATTATTACGTCATCGAAACAGATACAAAATAAATAAAATCAACATGAAAGTTTCCATCAGGTATCGTTTCCGATCGACATCCAAACATTTTGCTATCCATATAGCTGCCAGCTCCTGTATTATAAACCCAAAACGTCCCCTTAATATATTTCAGCGTTTCTTTCGGCTGAGATTTGTTGATCGGCCAGTATGATCAACAATTTCAGGAATTGACACCAGTGAGAGGTTCCCAGCTCGTACTGTATTTGGGAATCTCTACGCTGCAAGTTTACACGTCACTCATTTACCGTTGATTATGACAGGCACTTGTCGCCCAGTGTTTGCATCAGATCCACATGAGATTCCCTTTGGAGTTTTCAACTAGAATTTCGTGACGGCCGGTTGTTCAACATTTCCACAGTGCACACTTAATGTTAACATAACAAAATCAATAATCTGAAATAAATTCTAAAATAAACGCAAGGCATTTTGCACTATAAAAATGTATACTTTTCAACTAAGGTTTAAAACGTCTTAGATTTTTGGTGGAAAATGGGGAGGGCCGTGGAGATTTAAACACTTCCTCGTGTAATCTATCACAATGTCCATAATCTGTTTCTGTTCATATTTATGTCAGTTTACTAACTCTCATATAAGAATTCTTATTTATTTGTCCGACATATTTTTATTACATGAACATTTTTTTTATTACTATTTGGGAACGCTCCGTTTATTAAACGAAATATTTACTTTCGACTATCGGCCTGGATCTTTGAGAAACCCCCCGCCACCATTAGAGAAATGCGTGCGAGAAACCCCCCGCCACCATTAGAGAAATGCGTGCGAGAAACCCCCGCCACCATTAGAGAAATGCGTGCGAGAAACCCCCCGCCACCATTAGAGAAATGCGTAAAGAGACCCCCGCCACCATTAGAGAAATGCGTAAGAGAAACCCCCCCGCCACCATTAGAGAAATGCGTAAGAGAAACCCCCGCCACCATTAGAGAGAAATGCGTGCGAGAAACCCCCGCCACCATTAGAGAAATGCGTGAGAAACCCCCGCCACCATTAGAGAAATGCGTGCGAGAAACCCCCGCCACCATTAGAGAAATGCGTGCGAGAAACCCCGCCACCATTAGAGAAATGCGTGCGAGAAACCCCCGCCACCATTAGAGAAATGCGTGCGAGAAACCCCCGCCACCATTAGAGAAATGCGTGCGAGAAACCCCCGCCACCATTAGAGAAATGCGTGCGAGAAACCCCCGCCACCATTAGAGAAATGCGTGCGAGAAACCCCCGCCACCATTAGAGAAATGCGTGCGAGAAACCCCCCGCCACCATTAGAGAAATGCGTGCGAGAAACCCCCGCCACCATTAGAGAAATGCGTGCGAGAAACCCCCCGCCACCATTAGAGAAATGCGTGCGTGAAACCTTATTAGAGTGTGCATATTTTACTAATATTTCTTACTAGGAGTGAAACGATTTATAAAATCAAACAGAACTGAAACCAACCAAAATAAACAAATAAATGATAAATAAAATAAAACCAAAACAATAAAAAACAATTAAAATAAAAACGCTCTAGTGTCCTTTACGCATGACATGACATGATAAATAGTAGCCTTAGGGAATTGTTTTCGTAAATTAATATTTTTCTCAAAATTTAATAAGTCTAATAAATATCACTCTTTCCACACTTACGCAGTAGCAGTATTTAACTAGATACATCCATCAAGTGCCAGGAGACAATCTTGTTCTACTCCACGAAAGGGAATTAACAGTAAATGTTGCATTTTTAAAAATGTACTTAATATGAACGGCTAAAATACACGCAACATTTTGCCTACCTTCTTCATTTCTCTTTGTCTGCCCTCTTTCATAATTTATATTTCTCAAACTAAATTTAGCCTGTGGCTCTATGGAAACCCGGCTGAAACTAGGGTTGAGAATCCGTCCACACGTTTCGCGCCGCTTTGATTGAGAAGTGGTACCCACCTCGTTGGTAATAACCCGGCGGCGAGCCTACTTTTGGCCCACTACACAGCTCCCTCTTGACAAAATGCCTCTTTCGTGTCATCGAGTTTGAAATTTAATCTGTACAGATGAGCTAAAATTAGTAAAAAGAACCTATGCTGACTGCCATAAAAATTAGGGTTGTAGAATTAGTAAATACTAAATCACTTTAAAAACCTCATTGTATATGTCAGTTGTGACATATTTTCTGTAAGAATAAATGAAAATGAACGTAGAATAATGGCTCTGCTAGGGGTAGTTTCGCCCAACACCGCCAATTGCTACAAAACCGAAACAACCTAAAAACTAAAGAGATGTTCTTAGATAAACTTGTCAAATCAAGATTTCCGTATGGATATCCTGCCTGGGTCTAAACTCGTTCAGAAATAATTAAACTGTCCGCTGTATACAGCAGTTGCCTAAGATCAATGACTAAAAATGGCTTCGAGCAAATAAAACCAGTACGTTTCATCGAGAACCATCCTCCTTTGAACCTCGTAGACTGGCGCTACATAATCCCAAACAAAGTACTATATCAAATAACAGAAACATCAACCCTTTCACCAGCAGCAATAACTAAAATTGCTAAGACATGCAACTCGAAGAGAAAATAATGACAATAAAAATGTTGGCAATCCGTACTATAAACAAAAGGTTAGGAAGGAAAATCAGTTCTGGAAAGAACAATAACAGTACCTGAGAAAATTATTTTACTGAAAAATTGTTTTACGAGAAAAATTTTATAAATTTCTAACTACTGTAACGCTACCTTATTAGTCAATGAATGCCGAATGTTTCCTTATAAGGAAACGGTTAATATTCCAAGTATTATTAGAGATGGAGAGAACAGATACTACATTTGGATCCCAGCTCATGACTAGAGAGTGTAGCAAAGCATAACTAGAATCACGCTAGCTGCACGATCAGTCAATGTCGAATGTTTTCACATAAGGTAATGGCTAACGTGTAAGACTAATAAAACTTGTTTGAACTTGCCAATCAAAGTGAATTTTTATAAAGAAAAAGAAATTCCAAAATCGTCTTCGAACTTGAAATATAAACGAATGTTGTTTGACGGTGTTACAGATTGGTAAGTCATATCTGATTTCGACAGACGTCTTGTATTTCGGGCAAATATATTTTTTTCTTTTTTAGCCAACCAGCGCCCGGGCACGATTATCTGATCGGGTTTACTCAAAAATAGCGTACGGTGTGGAATTTTCAGTTCCTTTCCAAGATAATATCCAAACAATCTCTATGTCAAAGTTCGAGAAATAAAAATAAAATTAGAAAATTCTGTATACGAAGTGATATCAGAAATTCCTGTTAATCGAATAAATAAAATATTTTATTTATTATTTAAAGTTGAGCCACTATAGCATTGAAGATAATCCCACTCAAAACGTACATAGTCATCTCAGTGCCTCATCCATGACTCAAAAGCCACACGAAAGTCCGATTCTACAAGGGAATCCGTTTGAATTTCATTTAAGACCTCCAAGCGGTGCTTATTAAGCTTCCGTTTCGTTTTGGGAAAGACGCCGAAGTTAGAAGGGGGTAATATTTTTCATATTTTCTGGTGTTTGGTCGCTCTGAATGTTCATCTTGAACAGACACTGGACGCTTGAAATGTGCTTGCTTAACAGAAAATTCTGTTCAACCTAAAACTCGCCTCAAACAAGGGGGGTTTAGTCTTTAGTTTTCTGAGCTTCACGCAAAAGTCGCTTACCTCAGGTTGTAGGAAGGAAAACGGTTAATACGTGTCTTGTGTGAAAAATACGCAAGAGAAAACATCGCCAATCCAAAAGCTACAATTTAAGAAAAAACTGTTCTCGTAGGTCAGATTATTCCTGAGGAATTTGTGGCTTATGCAAATTTCGGAGCCTAAGCCACTCGATAAGGTGAGAATAAGCGACGGGTAAGCAGAGGCCGACTTGACAAGTGGTTGTGCTTTGTGCATGGAGTTTTGTGGTAGTCTCACCGATTGTGATGGAAAAAAGACAGGGTATTCCAATCGGTATTCCAAACAGCCGTAAAGATTACAGAGCCGTTCCAACAATAAAAAAAATATATCAACTTAGTAGCTAGCACAAAGCTTATTTGCAAACTGGGTACCCAGTTTGTAACACGAAAATCGCGGCGTGTGCATTTCAGTTGACTGGCAAAATCTCCAGTGCACTAGAGTCTACAGTCTGGGAAGTTTTTGATGTCATCTCACATACCTATTGAATTCTGTGTCAGTATTTCTTGAGCCTCCGTTTCCTTACATAGATATTTCGGCTGTACTTTCATTACATCTGCTTAAGAGCGAATAGAATTTTGGGTTTTTTTTCCTTAGAATATGGAATCGACATGTCTAAGTTCTGATCTAATCTGTTGACATTACTTCGTATTAATACCACTGAGAAAGGCATCAATCCATTTTCGTCTTATCGCAGTTGTGTGTTAAATAGCAGTTCAGATGAGGCTCTATCCAGCGGGGGGGGGCAATCTAAGAAAATAAAAACATTGAATTCTAAAGTAACAAGTGACTATAGTTTTTCAAGAGCAATTACGGCAATACACAGATGATAAAAAACGGAATCTTTGGAGAGCGATGACGTTGACTGCCTGAAGTCAATTACGAAATCTAACTTCAAATGTTAACTTTATAATAGCCAACTTAGGCAATAAATTTCTTTTTGAATTGATTTATAGTTTCAACTGATGTCTTAACATTGTTTTTTTATACTCCTTGTCAGAAAAAACGACCAACTTGTCAGACGGCACGAAGAAACGACCAACGACGGCACGAAGAAACGACCACCTTGTCAGACGGCACGAAGAAACGACCAACTTGTCAGACGGCACGAAGAAACGACCAACTTGTCAGACGGCACGAAGAAACGACCAACTTGTCAGACGGCACGAAGAAACGACCAACTTGTCAGACGGCACGAAGAAACGACCAACTTGTCCAGACGGCACGAAGAAACGACCAACTTGTCAACGGCACGAAGAAACGACCAACTTGTCAGACGGCACGAAGAAACGACCAACTTGTCAGACGGCACGAAGAAACGACCAACTTGTCAGACGGCACGAAGAAACGACCAACTTGTCAGACGGCACGAAGAAACGACCAACTTGTCAGACGGCACGAGAAACGACCAAACGACCAACTTGTCAGACGGCACGAAGAAACGACCAACTTGTCAGACGGCACGAAGAAACGACCAACTTGTCAGACGGCACGAAGAAACGACCAACTTGTCAGACGGCACGAAGAAACGACCAACTTGTCAGACGGCACGAAGAAACGACCAACTTGTCAGACGGCACGAAGAAACGACCAACTCAGACGGCGAAGAAACGACCAACTTGTCAGACGGCACGAAGAAACGACCAACTTGTCAGACGGCACGAAGAAACGACCAACTTGTCAGACGGCACGAAGAAACGGACACGAAGAAACGACCAACTTGTCAGACGGCACGAAGAAACGACCAACTTGTCAGACGGCACGAAGAAACGACCAACTTGTCAGACGGCACGAAGAAACGACCAACTTGTCAGACGGCACGAAGAAACGACCAACTTGTCAGACGGCACGAAGAAACGACCAACTTGTCAGACGGCACGAAGAAACGACCAACTTGTCAGACGGCACGGAAGAAACGACCAACTTGACCGAAGAAACGACCAACTTGTCAGACGGCACGAAGAAACGACCAACTTGTCAGACGGCACGAAGAAACGACCAACTTGTCAGACGGCACGAAGAAACGACCAACTTGTCAGACGGCACGAAGAAACGACCAACTTGGTCAGACGGCACGAAACGACCAACAGACGGCACGAAGAAACGACCAACTTGTCAGACGGCACGAAGAAACGACCAACTTGTCAGACGGCACGAAGAAACGACCAACTTGTCAGACGGCTTCATAATAAAAAAATGCCAAAGTCAGTCAATGTGTAAAAATGCAGAAGTGAATGTAAATTTTTTTTAAATTTACGGTGGCTCGTCGTTTTTGAATCGCTTACTCAAATTAATGGCGTGGCTGAAGCCTTACCTTTTATTTTCGTTCTTATTAGAGTCTAGGCAGAAATATTTAATTTCTCAATTAAGTTTCATCTCCTATCCTGCTTCTGAATCTTTTACGAATTTTAATATTTTCAGTAGCTATTTCTCTTTCTGTATATACAAATGTGAATCAATAATAATGTAGTTTCACACCGTAACTGAATTTTCACTCGTGATTTTCATGTTCACAATGTCTGATAAGTGTTTAATAATTTAAGTTTAAATTCAGTACATTCTTGAAGAAATTGCTGAAAAAATAGGTCGTATTAGTTTACGGATTTATTGCTTTATTAAGCATGACGTTTCGGTTATCCTTGTGCCTATGCAGTAAATATTTATTAAAATACCCTGACCCTCGTGCTTACAATACACCGACCGCAAACCTTCAGAGTAGATACTTGGAATCGAGGATAAACCCAACCTATGTCTACCTTTTTGCCTGAAGTGTAACCAGGACCGATGACTACTTTTTGACTATAGTGTAACCCGGACCTATGTCTAACACTTTTACCCAAGTGTAAACCGGACCTGTCAACCAATCTTAATTCATCTTGATTTTTGTTTTATCAGATATATATTCAACATTAAATAACCGAACATCAGTTATTGGTAAAACAGTCATTGCAAGTTCAATCTCTGGGCCGGGTCTTGTGTAATTGAACTCAGTAGAAACAAGGAGAAAGACAACTGAACAGTACTAACAAATAAGAATTGGACGAAATCTCTCTAGATAAGGGCAGTGGAATGGGAACAGTCTACCCACGTAGATTAAATAAGGGGTTCGGTTTCGAAAGGTTGTGATAAGGATTAAGATAATAGTCCCAATGTAAATAGTTAACGGTTAGTCCTAGCTTTTAGCTTTCTTTTACTACCTTGTCTTGAAGGCCCTTTCTTTCTGTGTCTGCAGTCAAGATAGTGCCATCTTCGTATATTGATTTAAAAGACGAGCGCATTCTTCATCCAGCTGCAGAAGCTTCTCCTTCGACAGCTTATAGCGGCACAGTTAAGCATCACAATGAAAACCGCACTCACCGTACAAAGGAATCAATCTGCTATTCAGCGTCGTAACACAATCTGTAGAAAAAGCTACTCTCGGTCTTCACTCGCCTCAGGTCTTGAAAAATGTCACATACTAATCGTCGAAACAGAATAAAGATGACACTGATAAAGATAATTGCGAATATCGACTTTGGGGTGGGAAAAGAGAAAAGATTCAATATCTTTTCCGTCACTCGCAATAGATTGCAGCTTTATCGTAAAATCACGGTGGACGTATATCTTTTGTCTTATTTGCTGTCATTTGAATTTTCTTTGACAGTACCATCGTAATCTCTAAGTGCCAATTTTATCTCTTGATTTGCATTTGAAAGTGGGTTTTTTAAAGTGATATCTACAATGAAAACATATGAGCTTCATATATACGGGGGTAAAAGCAAAATAAAATCCGCATTTTCGCTATAACATACCTTTAGGTATGTCACACTGCTTTCTACTCATCCGTGCTGCAACTATTGCGGTCACGTGATCAAATATGTCAGTCACTAACATCGATTGTTTTGTTTGTTTAACGGCTTAACTCCTTATGGGTCATTTAATGACGAAATTTAATTATCTTGAGTGCTTTGAAGTAATAAAAATGTTATTCTGCCTTCACAGTTGAATACATGGTAGATGATTCTCAGATTTTGTGCATTTACATGTTTTTGTGGACATAATTACTAGAGGCGTTAATATGTATTTGTACAATTTGTATTGTAGTTTTGTTGAATTTATATACAGTTTGATTTATTAAGGATATTGTATGATTATATGAATTAATGTCATGAAAGTTTTCATTATGGTTGGTTGATTTTGTTTAGTGATTTATATGCCTCTATGGTTATTTAATTTTGAAATGTACATATTTTGGGCGCAATTTTATGCCTTCAACTACAATAATATATTGTTGGTCATTTTGCTATAAAATACATTGGTGGTCATTTTGCTATAAAATGTATTGCTGGTATTTTTACTATATAATTTATTTTTTTATACTTCCATAATGATTTTTTTTGGGGGGGTCACTATATGCCTGTAGCTGGGGCCTTAACCTGTGTTACCACCTGGGTCAGGGATGACCTGGGAATAACAGCAATGAGGAATTGGTTTCTCGCTCCTAAAGACAACAAATCTCCCGAATATAGTTCCAGCCACTAAGCAAAACCAAAATCGCCATATTCATCGGCGTTAAAATGGTTACTACACACAATGCGCATTTATCTCTCGTAGCAGACAGTAGAATCTAACTTTTATACTTTGATTTCAAAAAAAAATCTCTTTACCAGGGTAAGTCAATAATTATCCGCAATTTCGCCATAAAACATATTTAGGCTTGTCACACTACTTTCTGCTCATGCGTGCTTAGAGTTGGTACTATTGTAGTCACGTGATCGAAGTTTGTGCATCATTTCACCAGTTTTCTTGCTTCGGCTACAGTGAGGACTAAGAAGGATTAAGTTACTGTTACACATAACCCTTTCAACTGTAAAATGATGAGGTCTTAACGCTGATCTAAAGATCAAATTTGGCTGGAAAGCATGGAGCTGGAAGAGAACTTAGGGTTACATATAGCCAATTCAACTATAAATTCATGAGGCTTTCTTTGCCAATCTAGCAGTGGGCATAAATTTAGTCGAGATACCATAGCGGAAAGTTCATACCAACAATTAATAAAGTATTTATAGAAAAGGGACAGGAAAACTACATTACAGCAGTGGGAAAAAAATGACTGAAGCCGTGATGCCAGATCAGGACCAATAATATTGCAGATTTTCATTGTATCACTTTAAATAAATAGCATGATCACCGGACCATTATGTGGCAGCAATATCCAAAGAATACACGAATAGTTGACTTATAAATATACAAAATAGATTCTAGATGGAAAAATTATCTAGCACGAGAGAGTGAATAAAATATTGTTCGCATCAGATCGAGTAATTGATTCAATATAAGCTTCCAACTTTATGTCAGCTGAGATGCCTATTTTATCGCATTAACAATACTTGTACAGCCCTTTTGTATTTATGCAGGCATATTCTTCGACGATATGCTCTAGGAACCGTCTTTTCTTCAGCCTGACTTTAGAATCGTCAAGAATCTGCTGCTGCCTTTATATGCTGTGTCCCTTTAGGACGTAGGCAAAAATGACTCGACAACTTTCATTTTTTGCGCTTAGTAACTTTCGACTGTACCACCCCAATTTGACCCTGTTATGCTATCCGTCCACACAAACTCGTAATGTAGGTTACTGTTTCACGACATGGCATTACATGGCAGGCATGACACTACATAACTATCTTTCTTTCATAACATTTTTTGCGCTTGGTAAATTTCGACTGTATCACTACCACTTTGTGTCAACGGATGGCAGGATAGGGACTAACTAACAAATGTAGTTTACAGTTTCACTTTCAATATGCTCTAAGCTGTGTTAAAATGTCTTGGACCTCTTTCCCAGAAAATTCCATCTTTCTATTTTGATTCTAAACATAAATATCCTTTTAGTGTATTTTCCTTAAAACATCCTCGTTTCTCACATATTCAGTCGATGGTGGTCTCAGGATCTCATCGCTAGAGTCACATCTGTCGCTCCAGGCTTCCTCTTCATCTGGGAAAAGGACTGTAAAACATCTTCTGCTATATAGGAACTGAGACATTGCATACAAGTTCAGCGCTTTTTTTTTTGAAATTCCTATTTGTTTTAAGACTTCCTTAATGCTCACGTGTTCAAGTCCATGAGGCTCTCAGAATCGCTCGGCAGGAACACATCTCTCCTCGCTATTCATCTGAGGGAATTGGCCAACATTTGATTGCTTGTTCGAAAATAGCAGTTAAACACAGTTTCAACGAAATTTTTCTATCACTTAATATTTTACTTGTATCCTGGAAAGCATCTTTCACTGTTCATTTGCAATTTGGGAATTGTTACATTCTGTCATCATTTACTAAACTAAAGATATTCTGTATTTCTACATTTGAAAATAACCCAACATACAGTTGATGACTTGCTTTGCCGATAAACGTATACTATCTTCTTGCAGTTAATAGTGAGTCTAATATTGCACAACAATTGGTTTAAATTAATGTAAAAAAAAAAAGCGGGGGGAGAGTCATTCTTAAATCAAAAACATTGACTTGTACACACCAGATAGAAATGATATACATTAAAAAGGGGGGGGCGTGCAATAAAAAGGACATTATAATTAGGTTTAATTAAAGAAAGAAAGAATTAAATCGACTGATTTTGTTAAAATATTTTTTTTCTTCAGATATCGTCGTTTTGTATCTTTGCGTCGTTTTTTTTTTTTGCTTTCTTTTTTTATTTTATTGAACGTTTCCGGTGATTAGGTTTGCGTTCAGCGTTGAAGGGAAATATTGCGCATGTCTGTTAGGATTGTCGTCGATTGAAGTCAATGATTGTTTGCAGAGTGATTCAAGAAAATTTTAAATTTCTGTTGAGAAAAACAAATCACTAAGTAGATAATGGGAGAGGCATTTTACTAAAAGCTTTCATCATGAGTCACTTAAAACATTAAATATCAAAATCTATATTGATGACGATTTTCTAATGAAGAATACGCACGCGCATATCTACGCACGCGCATATCTACACACTTTGTTCATAGCTATCTATATAACGCTTTTCACTGTCTTATGTGTATCCGTTTTATTTCTGTTATATCGTGGATAATACGATATAAGCAAGCAAGTGGAAGGATTACGCTAAACACAGGAATTAGGTAAAACAAATACCATGGGTTTTATTGTACGGAAAGTACAATGATTAAGAGTTCTTAATAAGACTAAGGAAAACGGGAGATACGTCACGGAGATCCGTGGTGGTACTGCTACTA